GCTAGACTGGATATTTTGACAGGGGGATATTCCCCCTGGGGTGCTCTCTGTCTATCTTGGTGATTATTCTGCGCACAGATGACACATCTGGAACCCAGATTTTTGTAGAAATTCGTTATACCATAGGCCACAAAGTGTTTCCTAACCTGCTCTACCATCTAACCTGCTCTACCATTCCCCCTATTGACACATTGATTTACCCATATCAAAACAGTGACTTTAATACATTTAATAATTTATCCTTATGCCAGACATTATCTCGTAGGATTGCCCCTTTCTTTACAGTATGAAAATGTATGCACTCACCAACTGTAAGTTGCTCCGGATAAGAGCGTCTGCCAAATGGCCAAAATGCAAAATGTAATCAAGAACATAGGAAATATCTGTTTCCCCGTATATTGTTCCTGTCACCCTTCTTAATGTCATACAGTGAGGGAAAAAAGTATTTGATCCCCTGCTGATTTTGTACTGTCACACCCTGGCTATGGGACTCTAGTTGTTGAGCCAGGGTGTGTTTGTTCTATGTGGTGTGTTTCTATGTTGGGGGTTCTAGTTCGTCTATTTCTATGTTTTGCCTGAGTGACTCCCAATCAGAGGCAACGAGTGTCAGCTGTTGGCTGGTTGTCTCTGATTGGGAGCCATATTTATACTGTATGTTTTCCCTTTGTGTTTGTGGGTTTTTGTTCCGTGTCGGTATTTGTTACCGTTGGACGTTACGAGTCGTTTATTGTTTTGTTCGTGCTTTATTAAATAAAGTCTAAACATGTTTGTTCAACACGCTGCGCATTGGTCTACTTCTCTCCCTGACGATCGTGACAGAAAAACCCACCAAAACTGGACCAAGCAGCGTGTCCAGGAGCCATCGCCAGGGGAATCGCTTGCAGATCTCCGTGGCAACCTCGACTGGGTCCAGCCTTGTAAAGAGCAGAGTGGATGGACTTGGGAACAGTGGAGGAGGAGTCTCGACTGGGTCAAGCCTAATGAGGAGCAGAATGGCTGGAATTGGGGGCAGAAGAGCGAGAGTTGGGCGAGAACGATAGAGGCCTGGCCCACGGGGAGGAGAGACCCCCAGAAATTTTTTAGGGGGGGGCTCACGACGTCGGGGCAGCAGGAGGCCGCGATAGAGCGGTCCAGCGGGTTGGCAGAGGAGGCCGCCAGATTACGGGGGCCACTGGTCGAAGAGGGGATGGAAGGTGGAGAGGCACGGCGAGAGGTACTGGGGTGTGTTACCAGTCCGGTCCGGCCCGTTCCAGATCCCGGTGTAGGACCAGTGGTGTGTGTCCCCAGTACGGTCCGGTCTGTTCCTGCTCCCCGCACCAAGTCAGTGGTGCGCTTCGTCAGCCTGGCTCGGCCCGTTCCTGCTCCCCGCACCAAGTCAGTGGTGCGCTTCGTCAGCCCGGCTCGGCCCGTTCCTGCTCCCCGCACCAAGTCAGTGGTGCGCTTCGTCAGCCCGGCTCGGCCCGTTCCTGCTCCCCGCACCAAGTCAGTGGTGTGCTTCGTCAGCCCAGTCCGGCCTGTCCCTGCTCCACGCACCAAGCCTACGGTGTGCGTCGTCAGCCTGGTAAGGCCCGTTCCTCCTCCACGCACCAAGCCAGGGGTGCGCGTCGTCAGCCTGGTAAGGCCCGTTCCTCCTCCACGCACCAAGCCAGGGGTGCTTGTCGTCAGTCCAGCACAACCCGTGCCTGGGTCACCGGTGCCTGGTAAGGTCCCAGTCAACTGCTCCACTACGGAGCTGAAGCTATCCGCTCCACCAGTGTGCAGTCCAGCTCCGGTCAGCAGGGCCAGACCGGACCAGGGGTACTTTGGGGGTGTAGAGAAAGAGTGGGGGTCAAGCCCGGAGCCAGAACCGCCGCCGAGGAGGTATGCCCACCCAGCCCTCCCCTGTTTTGCTCTTTTTGAGGCGCGGTCGCAGTCCGCGCCTTTAGGGGGGGGTACTGTCACACCCTGGCTATGGGACTCTAGTTGTTGAGCCAGGGTGTGTTTGTTCTATGTGGTGTGTTTCTATGTTGGGGGTTCTAGTTCGTCTATTTCTATGTTTTGCCAGCTGTTGGCTGGTTGTCTCTGATTGGGAGCCATATTTATACTGTATGTTTTCCCTTTGTGTTTGTGGGTTTTTGTTCCGTGTCGGTATTTGTTACCGTTGGACGTTACGAGTCGTTTATTGTTTTGTTCGTGCTTTATTAAATAAAGTCTAAACATGTTCGTTCAACACGCTGCGCATTGGTCTACTTCTCTCCCTGACGATCGTGACATGTACGTTTGGCCACTGACAAAGACATGATCTGTCTATAATTTTAATTGTAGGTTTATTTGAACAGTGAGAGACAGAATAATAACAAAAAAAAACTGAAAAACGCATGTCAAAAATGTTATAAATTGATTTGCATTTTAATGAGGGAAATAAGTAATTGACCCCCTCTCAATCAGAAGGATTTCTGGCTCCCAGGTGTCATTTATACAGGTAACGAGCTGAGATTAGGAGCACACTCTTAAAGGGAATGCTCCTAATCTCAGCTTGTTACCTGTATAAAAGACACCTGTCCACAGAAGCAATCAATCAATCATATTCCAAACTCTCCACCATGGCCAAGACCAAAGAGCTCTCCAAGGATGTCAGGGACAAGATTGTAGACCTACACAAGGCTGGAATGGGCTACAAGACCATCGCCAAGCAGCTTGGTGAGAAGGTGACAACAGTTGGTGCGATTATTCGCAAATGGAAGAAACACAAAAGAACTGTCAATCTCCCTCAGCCTGGGGCTCCATGCAAGATCTCACCTCGTGGAGTTGCAATGATCATGAGAACGGTGAGGAATCAGCCCAGAACTACACGGGAGGATCTTGTCAATGATCTCAAGGCAGCTGGGACCATAGTCACCAAGTAAACAATTGGTAACACACTACGCCGCGAAGGACTGAAATCCTGCAGTGCCCGCAAGGTCCCCCTGCTCAAGAAAGCACATATACATGCCCGTCTGAAGTTTGCCAATGAACATCTGAATGATTCAGAGGAGAACTGGGTGAAAGTGTTGTGGTCAGATGAGACCAAAATCGAGCTCTTTGCCATCAACTCAACTCACCGTGTTTGGAGGAGGAGGAATGCTGCCTATGACCCCAAGAACACCATCCCCACCGTCAAACATGGAGGTGGAAACATTATGCTTTGGGGGTGTTTTTCTGCTAAGGGGACAGGACAACTTCACCGCATCAAAGGGACGATGGACGGGGCCATGTACCGTCAAATCTTGGTTGAGAACCTCCTTCCCTCAGCCAGGGTATTGAAAATGGGTCGTGGATGGGTATTCCAGCATGACAATGACCCAAAACACACGGCCAAGGCAACAAAGGAGTGGCTCAAGAAGAAGCACATTAAGGTCCTGGAGTGGCCTAGCCAGTCTCCAGACCTTAATCCCATAGAAAATCTGTGGAGGGAGCTGAAGGTTCGAGTTGCCAAACGTCAGGCTCGAAACCTTAATGACTTGGAGAAGATCTGCAAAGAGGAGTGGGACAAAATCCCTCCTGAGATGTGTGCAAACCTGGTGGCCAACTACAAGAAACGTCTGACCTCTGTGATTTCCAACAAGGGTTTTGCCACCAAGTACTAAGTCATGTTTTGCAGAGGGGTCAAATACTTATTTCCCTCATTAAAATGCAAATCAATTTATAATATTTTTGACATTGTTATTCTGTCTCTCACTGTTCAAATAAACCTACCATTAAAATTATAGACTGATCATGTCTTTGTCAGTGGGCAAACGTACAAAATCAGCAGGGGATCAAATACTTTTTTTCCCTCACTGTATATATATATATATACAAATTCATTTTGACATTGAGTATTTTGTGTAGATCAATGTCCCAAAAAATACAATGAAATCTATGTCAATCCCACTTTGTAACACAACAAAAATGAATGTGAAAAAAGTTCAAGGGGGTTTACTTTCTATAGGCACTGACTGTACATTTTACTGTCAAATGCATATTGCCACCTGCTGGTGAAATAGTAATACACCCCAAGTTATAATAACAATTTACTGTATGCATCCTCTTTCTTATAGCAGCCCTTCATATGCAGTAACTCTGATAGTGTACATTTAATATTAAAGGAATGTACCTTTGAAAGGTTTCTCAGCTAAACTGTATCTATTTGTCAGCTTTTCCTCTTCCCATCCTAATGTCGACACACAGTAAAGGGATGGTTTCTCCCACTGACTGGAGACAGGAGAGGATAGTTTGAACAAGAAATGAAAGCTGAGGGCATTGGGAGGACACAGGGAGTGAGGGACCACCGACGTGAGCGATGGATGACTTCCTGGAGAGAAATAAGGCAATGTTCTATAAAGCTCAGGGATTGGATCTAGTCTAGCCACTAGCTGGTCCTCCATGATGGATCTAGCTCTAAGCCCCAGAGCTCTCTCGGTTAATATATCTTCTTTATCAGTGGCCTTCCATGTGGTCATGGTAGAAGGGAATACAATCCTACTTGGCTGGTTGATGGGAGATGTGTTCTGTGGGGGCTGCAGTAGCCTATAGCTTTGAGGGACACATAGCTCTGAAAATGATGGAAACTTTTGAGATGGTCTTGGGTGAAACTGATCTCTCGTGCAGTTTACTTCTTCAATCTCCCAATTTTAGCTATAGGCTATTGTAGAATTTACATTGGCTAGAGAGAAGAAATCTGTTCACCCAAAAGGCCAATATAATACATTAATACAATGCATTTGAATGTATTTGATGACTATAGCCTACAGAGTCATGCAATGTTAAAAGAGGGTATTCTATTCAGATAGTCTACTGCCCTCATATCAGTCGTCACATAATCCTGTCCCTTCCTGCCTACAGTAAACACTCACCTTGATCGACTAGAGCTCAACAGTACCTTCTACTGAAAAGTCCATGAATTGACTGAACACAGTTATTCTGCTGCTACCATAAAAACTACCGGTACACCATAGAGAATAATTGTTTAATATGTTTTACATTAAATTAGAAACTGTACATTTTCGTACCCCTCTGATAAGGTGCGATATTAGAAATGCTATAACAACTGTTATGATCAGCGTCGCGTCTGCCACTTTCAACATCCGCATCAGGTGATTGCGGAAGTAACTTCACTCTGCGGGTTCAGGGTTCCGCCTCTAAACTAACTAGCTAGCTAAATAAATGGTTATCCCTCTACCGAAAACAAACTACTTTCCTTTTTATAAGACCCATTTGGAATAAAGCAGCACGTCACCATTGCATTCTGCAGTAGATATTTAAGGAAACATGGCTGGACGTCTACCGGCTTGTGTAGTTGACTGTGGCACAGGGTAAGTAGCAAGTGCTAATGCTAATAGCTAGCTAGCTAATAGATTAATTGGCTTTAGCTTTATACACCCAGACAGGGCAGAAATGTTGGGCGTGCAAAGTAAACCATGCAAGATAGCTAGCCAATTAGCTAACTAGTCAGCAACAACTTTTATTTGCTTAATTTCGTGAATTCAGCCAGCAAGCTAGCTAGCTAACCATTTTAGGCATAAGAAGCTAGCTTGCTAGTAGCTAATTTCCATCAGGGATCCTCACTCCCTCGTTACATTAGCTGAATGCATTGACTTTAATATGTTACAGGAGTCTACATTTCTGTTTCAATTTATGGAAGCGTATAATTGGCCAAGACCACAGACAGTCATGACACCCTTTAGATTAGTGGTTTCCAACCTTGTTCGGTTACTATACCATCAACTGAATTTTGCTCTGCCCGGACTGAGTACCCCCTTATGTACACTTTACCAGTAGGCCTATGGTCTCATGAGTCTTCTCAAGTACCCCCTGTGGATGGGCCAAGTACCCCCAGGTTGGGAACCACTGCTTTAGATCATGCATCATGATCTATAATGATTACACCATTATGATCTATATAACCCACTGAACTTTCTCATGCAATGCTTTTGTTGTAGGTACACAAAGATTGGATATGCTGGAAACACAGAGCCACAGTTTATTGTTCCGTCATGTAAGTATTTCTGTAAAATACAGCAGCGTTTCCCAAACTCTGTGCACATTTTGGTTTTTGACCTAGCACTACACAGCTGATTCAAATAATCAACTAAGCTTTGATCATTGGAATCAGCTGTGTAGTGTTAGGGCAAAAAACAAAACGTGCACCCCTTGGGGTCCCGAGGACTGAGTTTGGGAAACACTGTCATAGTCTTCTAATGATAATGTACCATGTTAATGCATATGTAGCCCTTGATCATGACTCTCAGTTCCATTCCATTACACATGAGTCATTGGATGAAGGCGTCTTCTGTACTGAGGTGATTTGTTAAGAGCTGCGACGCTCGGTCTGAACATTAACACGCATCACTTGCGGTACTGTTTTGGAATCATAAGGACCTTATCTTTCATATCAGCGAGAAATGATAATAATTTAAGAAAGGTTTTATAGGGTTAGGGTTCCCACATGGCCATATTTCCATGTTACAGCGCTTGTTTACTGAAAAGAGACAGAATACAGAGTGGATTACCTGTGCTAATTAGCTATCTGCGTTTCCGAACACCTGTGTGTAAACGGAAGATGGACGCCACAAATGTGTTGTCTGAAAAATACTGTTGGCTGCAACTGTGTTAAAACCGGTTAAAACAGTGTACAGTAAGTGTGTATTTTGCATTTGTGAAATTATTTTGATGTGGTATGAGGATTTATATTTCTAGAACCGTACCGCAATTGAGAATCGATTCACGTTTAGATGGAGTATTGGGCAGTTTTGGCTTCCAGAGCCAATTCGCCCTTTAAACAGAACATGTAAGGTCCTTGGACTATGGAGTAATGTTAGGCTCCTTTAGTCCAATATTGGGCTAATTCATATGTAGGCGGACACACCGGACATATGGTCATTAGTCAAATTAATCTGCTGAAAGCATTTTGGTATCGGTCCTTCCTGTGTTTCTTTCTGATTGGAGTGCTCAAAGGAAGTAGGCGAGCACGCCTAATTCACCCAGAAAATTAGGTCGCCTTCCTCTTGCATTGAGTCATCGAGTAGGCCCTAAATGTCGATGCTTGCTTGTTAGAGGCACCATAGACTACTTATTCAGGGATTTCCAAAATGATAAATCCAAAACATTTTTGGCTATTTTCAATCATCTTTGCCTATTCACTTGTTTACAGTACTTGAAGGCCGTACACACAGCTTGAAAGGAAGCTAGTCTAGCCTATATTCAGTGATTTGGCTCCATAGCGGAAGTCCCCTTATGCCCATGCTGACTAGAATAACGGACAAGCTTGCCAAGGCCACCTCCCTGTGGGACTTGAAATAGCCAGTAGATAGAAGACGTGCATGTTTAGAGGCCTGGATGGATGACAAGTAGGCCTAAAGATTTAGTGGCTACAAGGAAGTGGTTGAGGGAACAATGTTCATTGTCCAACATTATAATATGTATGCCATTTAGCAGACACTTTTATCCAAATCGACTTAGTCATTTTACGTACGTGTGGACCCAGGATCCCAAAGTGGTCTTGGTAAATTGCTCAACTTTGTCTATGAAGTCACATTATGCAGACAGTTAAAGGCCCAATGCAGCTGTGTGTATGTCAATATCAAATCATTTATGGGTAACAATTAAGTACCTTACTGTAATAGTGTTCCATTAAAGTGGTCAAAAATAAACAAAAATGGCTTTTAAGCAACAACAAAAAACGATTTATCACGCAATAATTTTGCTAGGACCCCCTGTCGATTTACAAGATATAAACCTCTAACATTTTAATTTGAGGTATTCCATTTGTTACATGTCAAGCTTTTAAATCGGATAAAAACAAATGCACGTGGCATGCCTCCATTCTTTTGTATGAAATTGCGCAAACTCCAAACATATCGCTGCGTGTTGGAATACCACTTCGCTCTGGAGTCTGCATCCCTGCTGGCTTGGTCGAAGTGGCTATCAGAGGGTCTAATTAGCCCCTACACCCTCGATAATTTTCACTCCCTCAGCTTTGAAACACTTGTGCATGTGGCGGAGGCACTCGTGAATGTGCAAATGTAGCAATAACTTTACATCCATATCTGTTCAAGGAAAAGCTGTGGTGGACTATATAGTTACCCTCCACGACTGGCTAGAAACTTGTTTGGAATTTAAGGTGTTACCCCCTACACAGATGGTTGAAGAATGAGGATGTCACCTGCAGAGAGATTAACCTAGAGAAGTCCCCAAAGCAAGCTGGTTGTGGGGCTTTGTTCACAAACACAAACAGAGCCCCAGGACAGCAACAGCAACACAATCGGACTCAACCAAATCATGAGAAAACAAAAAGGTAATTACTTGACACATTGCAAAGAATTTACCAAAAAACGGAGCTATTTGTCCCTAAACAGAGAGTGCACAGTGGCAGAATACCTGACCACTGTGACTGACCCAAAATTAAGGGAAGCTTTGACTATGTACAGACTCAGTGAGCATAGCCTTGCTATTGAGAGAGGCCGCCGTAGGCAGACCTGGCTCTCAAGAGAAGACAGGCTATGTGCACACTGCCCACAAAATGAGGTGGAAACTGAGCTACAATTTCTAACCTCGTGCCAAATTTATGACCATATTAGAGACACATATTTTCTTCAAATTACACAGACCCACAAAGAATTCGAAAACAAATCCAATTTTGATCAACTCCCATATCTATTGGGTGAAATACCACAGTGTGCCATCACAGCAGCAATATTTTTGACCTGTTGCCACAAGAAAAGGTCAACCATTGTAAATTCAACCCATATTTGTTTATTTATTTTCCCTTTTGTACTATTTCCACATCCTTATAACACTGTACATAGCCATATTATGACATTTGAAATGTCTCTATTCCTTTGAAACTTTTGTGAGTGTAATGTTTACTGTTCATTTTTATTTCACTTTTGTTTATTATCTACAGTATTTCACTTGCTTTGGCAATGTAAACATATGTTTCCCATGCTAATAAAGCCCTTTGAATTTAATTCATTCGGACTATTTTGAGGAAGTGATACTGGCTTTGTTCATATGGTGTCTCATGCGGGACAAACATTAGTAACGGCCATATCGAACCACAACCCCAAGACTGAAATCTTGTTTTTCTTAATGAGCAACCGAAAAACACATGCAGAATCAGTGCGTTCAGTATCTCTTAAAAAATGTGGCTATTTGTTTACTGAATTTACAAGACAAATCGAAGTAATAGGCCTACCGCTCATTGAGTTTCCTCTTTTATGTTTAGCATAAATTCACCTATGTAACGTTGACTATCAGCACCCTCAAGTGATGATGTTTCAACCAACCATGTGCTAACCATATGTAGGCTGGTACTAAGGATTTAATTGTGTTGAATCTTCCTAAACTTCAGGTATTGCCATCAAAGAGTCAGCCAAGGTTGGAGACCAAGCCCAGCGCAGGATGATGAAGGGGGTGGACGATCTGGACTTTTACATTGGTGACGAGGCAATAGACAAACCAAATTATGCAACAAAGGTACATTGGACTTTCCAGTGATGGAGGTCTACTTAAAGGGTCAATCTGCAGTTGCTACATACATTTTTGGACTTGTAAATTATTGATATTCTTGAAGAATATAACTTATAAATGCCTCATGAGCTTAGTTCAACTGGCATATCCCATCAGGACTGAAAATATAAGCTTGTAAACAAAACATGGTGAAAACTACTATGTTGGATGGTCAGTCCATGCAACCATATGTCTATCTATGAATTTGAGAGTGGTTACATTTCTTCAGCCCCATTACTCAGGTTTTTACTGAAACAGTGGCTGAGATTTCGCTTGGTTATTGTTTCAACTGTAGATTGCCCCTTTTTTAAGTTTAAACGTAAAGTCATGCTGAATGCCTGTTAGAGCTGAGTAGCCTAATGGAAAAATAAAATGTGGGTGTGGTCCCCTTGTAACAGTGGCCCATTCGTCATGGGATCGTGGAAGACTGGGATCTCATGGAGAGGTTCATGGAACAGGTCATCTTCAAGTATCTGCGGGCAGAGCCCGAAGACCACTACTTCCTCTTGGTACGTTCATAACATGTACATTAGTGTGGAAATTATGCTACCCAGTAGCAGGGACTTATGGGATTTGTATTTGTCTTCTCCACAGACAGAGCCTCCTTTGAATACCCCTGAAAACAGAGAGTACACGGCAGAGATTATGTTTGAGTCCTTCAATGTTCCAGGTCTTTATATCGCTGTACAGGTAAATCCTCTCTACGTTCTATATTGGTTCTATATAATCTCTTCCCTGCACCTCTTCATGTTCAAGTGTCAAGTCAAGTCAAACTTGATTTCGAGTGCATTATCACAACTCTCACAGAGGAAATGAGGGTGTCCATGAGGTGTCTGCGAAACCTTGGAGTGGATCTCAGTTCTGGGCCCTTTTCAAAAAGGAGTAGGAGTGCTCATCTAGGATCAAATCCCCCCCTGACTATATACCCTACCGGTCAAAAGTTTTAGAAAACCTACTCATTCAAGGGTTTTTCTTTATTTTTACTGTTTTCTACATTGTAGAATAATAGTGAAGACATCAAAACTATGAAATAACACACATGGAATCATGTCGTGAACAAATCAAAATATATTTTATATTTGAGGTTCTTCAAATAGCCACCCTAGCCTTGATGACAGCTTTGCACGCTCTTGGCATTATCTCAACCAGCATCACCTGGAATGCTTTTCCATCAGTCATGAAGGAGTTCACACATATGCGTAACACTTGTTGGCTGCTTTTCCTTCACTCTGCCATCCGACTCATCCCAAACCATCTCAATTGGGTTGAGGTCGGGGGATTGTGGAGGCCAGGTCATCTGATGCAGCACTCCATAGGCCTTACACAGCCTGGAGGTGTGTTGGGTCATTGTCATGTTGAAAAACAAATTATAGTCCCACTAAGCCCAAACCAGATGGGATGGCGTATCGCTGCAGAATGCTGTGGTAGCCATGCTGGTTAAGTGTGCCTTGAATTCTAAATAAATCACAGTGTCACCAGCAAAGCACCCCCACACCATAACACCTCCTCCTCCATGCTTTAGGGTGGGAACTACACATTCGGAGATCATCCGTTCACCCACACCGCGTCTCACAAAGACACGGCGGTTGGAACCAAAAATCTCAAATTTGGACTCCAGACCAAAGGACACATTTCCACTGGTCGAATGTCCATTGCTTGTGTTTCTTGGCCCAAGCATGTCTCTTCTTCTTATTGGTGTCCTTTAGTAGTGGTTCCTTTGCAGCAATTCGACCATGAAGGCCTGATTCACACGGTCTCCTCTGAACAGTTGATGTTGAGATGTGTCTGTTACTTGAACTCTCTGAAGCGTTTATTTGGGCTGCAATTTCTGAGGCTGGTAACTCTAATGAACTTATCCTCTGCAGAAGAGGTAACTCTGGGTCTTCCATTCCTGTGGCGGTCCTCATGAGAGCCAGTTTCATCATAGCGCTTGATGGTTTTTGCGACTGCACTTGAAGAAACGTTCTTGACATTTTCGCGTTGACTGACCTTCACTGTCGTTTCTCTTTGCTTATTTGAGCTCTTCTTGCCATAATATGGACTTGGTCTTTTACCAAACCTTATCACAACACAACTGATTGGCTCAAACTTATTAAGAAGGAAATAAATTCCACAAATTAACTTTTAAGAAGGCACATCTGTTAATTGAAATGAATTACAGGTGACTACCTCATGAATCTGGTTGAGAGAATGCCAAAGTGTGCAAAGCTGTCGTCAAGGCAAAGGGTGGCTATTTGAAGAATCTCAAATATAAAATATGTTTTGATTTGTTTAACACTTTTTTGGTTAGTACATCATTCCATTTGTGTTATTTCATAGTTTTGATGTCTTCACTATTATTCTACAATGTAGAAAATAGTAAAAGTAAAGAAAAACCCTTGAATGAGTAGGTGTTCTAAAACTTTTGACCGGTAGTGTATAATCTTATTGATTGTGATCTAAAGGGCTAAACTGATCCTAGATTAGCACTCCTGATCTGAGAGACTTTGTGAATACGGGTTGTCATCATTAGTGGAAAGTGACAGGGTCTGTGTTTTCCTCCTCAGGCGGTCCTGGCGCTGGCAGCCTCCTGGACCTCCAGACAATTGGGCGAGAGGACCCTGACTGGGACGGTGATTGACAGCGGTGATGGGGTCACCCACGTCATCCCAGTGGTGGGTACATGCCTTCGATCATCATTACATATTATCTTTCCTAGAACTGGGTCATGTTTAGTAGGTAGCGAACGTTTTGAACCAAAGTGAAACGGTGAGGTATTTCCTGAACTTGTCCAACATGAACACATTTTCTTAATCTGCTGCAAAAGATTTGAACACGACTCAGATGTATTCTACCTATATACACTATTTTTTTGAGCAAAGGGAACACTTAAACAACACAATGTAACTCCAAGTCAATCACACTTCTGTGAAATCAAACTGTCCACTTAGGAAGCAACACTGATTGACAATAAATGTCACATGCTGTTGTGCAAATGGTAGACAACAGGTGGAAATTATTGGCAATTAGCAAGACACCCCCAATAAAGAAGTGGTTCTGCAGGTGGTGACCACAGACCACTTCTCAGTTCCTATGCTTCCTGGCTGATGTTTTGGTCACTTTTGAATGCTGGCGGTGCTTTCACTCTAGTGGTAGCATGAGACGGAGTCTACAACACACACAAGTGGCTCAGGTAGTGCAGCTCATCCAGGATGGCACATCAATGCGAGCTGTGGCAAGAAGGTTTGCTGTGTCTGTCAGCGTAGTGTCCAGAGCATGGAGGCAATACCAGGAGACAGGCCAGTACATCAGGAGACGTGGAGGAGGCCGTAGGAGGGCAACAACCCAGCAGCAGGACTGCTACCTCCGCCTTTGTGCAAGGAGGAGCAGAAGGAGCACTGTCAGAGCCCTGCAGCAGGCCACAAATGTGCATGTGTCTGCTCAAACGGTCAGAAACAGACTCCATGAGGGTGGTATGAGGGCCCGACATCCACAGGTGGGGGTTGTGCTTACAGCCCAACACCGTGCAGGACGTTTGGCATTTGCCAGAGAACACCAAGATTGGCAAATTCGCCACTGGCGCCCTGTGCTCTTCACAGATGAAAGCAGGTTCACACTGAGCACGTGATAGACATGACAGAGTCTGGAGACGCCGTGGAGAACGTTCTGCTGCCTGCAACATCCTCCAGCATGACCGGTTTGGCGGTGGGTCAGTCATGGTGTGGGGTGGCATTTCTTTGGGGGGGCCGCACAGCCCTCCATGTGCTCGCCAGAGGTAGCCTGACTGCCATTAGGTACCGAGATGAGATCCTCAGACCCCTTGTGAGACCATATGCTGGTGCTGTTGGCCCTGGGTTCCTCCTAATGCAAGACAATGCTAGACCTCATGTGGCTGGAGTGTGTCAGCAGTTCCTGCAAGAGGAAGGCATTGATGCTATGGACTGGCCCGCCCGTTCCCCAGACCTGAATCCAATTGAGCACATCTGGGACATCATGTCTCGCTCCATCCACCAACGCCACGTTGCACCACAGACTGTCCAGGAGTTGGCGGATGCTTTAGTCCAGGTCTGGGAGGAGATCCCTCAGGAGACCATCCGCCACCTCATCAGGAGCATGCCCAGGCGTTGTAGGGAGGTCATACAGGAACGTGGCCACACACACTACTGAGCCTCATTTTGACTTGTTTTAAGGACATTACATCAAAGTTGGATCAGCCTGTAGTGTGGTTTTCCACTTTAATTTTGAGGGTGACTCCAAATCCAGACCTCCATGGGTTGATAAATTTGATTTCCATTGATCATTTTTGTGTGATTTTGTTGTCAGCACATTCAACTATGTAAAGAGAAAAGTATTTAATAAGATTATTTCATTCATTCAGATCTAGGATGTGTTGTTTAAGTGTTCCCTTTATTTTTTTGAGCAGTGTACTATTGCTAACACATACATGGTAACATATTAATAGATTGTGTTATCGATGGTGTTGTTTTCTTCCAGGCGGAAGGCTACGTCATCGGTAGCTGTATAAAGCACATCCCCATCGCTGGTCGAGACATCACCTACTTCACCCAGCAGCTGCTGAGAGAGCGGGAGGTGGGCATCCCACCAGAGCAGTCATTGGAAACAGCCAAAGCCGTCAAGGTACCTGCACACTTATAACTTAAGGAATGATTAAATGTATTATTTGTGAGCATTTCTCTGGTTCAACAGCAGAGGTCAGTATTGCTGTACCAATTGACTAGAGATGTACAGTCACAGATCATGACTCCTTCTTGTAAGCTCTTTGGCATCTACCCAGTGTCTTGTGTACACTCAATTATGACTTACAATTGATAATGATTCCATATTGTGTTCCAGGAAAGGTTCAGCTATGTCTGCCCTGACCTGGTGAAAGAGTTCAACAAGTACGATACGGACGGCTCCAAGTGGATCAAGCAGTACACGGGCATCAACTCCATCAGCAAGAAGGAGTTCACCATCGACGTGGGCTATGAGCGCTTCCTCGGCCCCGAGATCTTCTTCCACCCAGAGGTATGATCCCATTGATTTTTCCATATGAAACGTTTCGATTATTTAAAAAATAACTGGTTTCGATTTTGTTTTAAACATGAAATGAATTGTGCTTTATGTGGGTTGAATGCTATAACAACACAGAATAAAACAATGGTAGTGACTGCCCATTACTGCTTATTACTTATTAACCATCATTTATTCACATTACTTTAAGAAAATATTTCAGTTGTGTATATTACATTGGTTTTATTTGATGACTTTATTATTTCATTCCAAGTCATCGTCTCATCTCTATAGAGCTGCTGCCTATGCTGTCTGAAGAGCTACAAAATAGTGATTTTGTCTAAGTAAATAAGGCATATTTTTTTGACTGCTGAATACCAACTATCAATCACTTAGATCATGTATGTTCAGTTAGAGATACCTCTCGAAGCAACAGCTGCTCTCTATATCACCTCACGATCGCGCATTCTTCTCTCTTCAGTAGTAGGCGTAAAAGAAACACAGACCGGACAAGTAGATGCGCAATGGATTATGATCATTGTAGTTAATTACCACGTTTATGCACTAAACTATGTAGAATATTGGCCTGTTGGAAACTACAACTCCCTACTACATTGCACAGTTCAGGCTGGATCTGATTTATCTCTAAGGAAACTGTGTGATGTGCTGCATTGAGCTCACAGAAACCCGAACGAAATGGAATTCAAATAATTGAACTAACGTTGGTCAATTAGTAGTTTAAAAACCGAAAAATAACCGAAATGTTAGTTTATCACTCAGCACTAATTGTATCATAATAACATTGGTTTTATATGTTGTACTTTTCTCCTCCCCCAGTTTGCCAACCCTGACTTCACCCAGCCCATCTCAGAGGTTGTTGATGAGGTCATTCAGAACTGCCCTATTGACGTCAGACGTCCTCTCTATAAGGTACGTCTGGGGAGTTCAAGTTCGTTTTATTTCATTCACATGGCAGGCGACAAGAACATTGTGTTTGACAATATGAAAGAAGGTCTCATGATTAATTGAAACAATAACCCTATGCCAGATACTGAGACTGGTCTCCAACCAGAAGTTATGAGATTAAGTATGTGGATGAAATGTGTTTTACTTTCCAAATGATCTATTCAGGAGTATGTCAAGGTTCCAAGTGTATATTTACCTTGTCTGTTGCTATGCAGAACATTGTGCTCTCTGGAGGCTCCACTATGTTCAGGGACTTTGGCCGTCGTCTGCAGAGGGACCTGAAGAGGACAGTGGACGGCAGACTGAAACTCAGTGAGGAACTGAGCGGTGGCAAGTTGAAGGTGAGAACAGATTACATTTGACCTAGTCAGCTGATGTACTCTATAGGAATGCTACAGGTTTATGGGTGTTGTCGCTCCAAAATAATGTCATATTTTGCATTTCCAGCATAATCATCGGTGTTATTGGCTCAATAATGAGGCGTTTTATGTTTTTTTGCCAGCCCAAACCCATCGACGTGCAAGTCATCACTCACCACATGCAGAGATACGCTGTTTGGTTCGGCGGGTCCATGTTGGCATCAACTGTGAGTTCTAAAACCGAGAGGGATCTTTGTCTGTTAACTCATGTTACTATCGGAAATGAATATTATACTGATTCAAAAGCTCGGGACAGACACTTGAGGAGGCTTTGTTAGCCTAGGTTAGAATATAAAATAGCAAACTTGAAAGGAAAAATATACACCAACCAATAATAACGGTCATATCTACTCTTTCCTCAGCCGGAGTTTTACCAAGTGTGCCACACCAAAAAAGACTATGAGGAGATCGGACCGAGCATCTGCCGCCATAACCCTGTCTTCGGGGTCATGTCTTAAAAGGACTTCCCTCAGTTATCACTGGAGCTTGCAGTTGGAGCAGAATGGAGTGGACGGACAGAGGCAGAGTGGCATTACTGCACTACGGTCACTGCTTAATCTAGCCTATTTCCAGGGCTGCGGTTACAGACAAAATACAGGAAGAGAATGACATAGAAATAGAATGACTAGATTCTATTCCTATGGAGAATGACTCATTTATCAACTGCAGACCAAACTATCAGGCTGACCAACGGAGGTGAATATCTATGTAAAGGAGAAGGAAATGGTGTCTTAAAGCCAAAAGCATTTTCAGAGCAATTGTGTGGACACAAAACAATGTGTAAGATCATGATAATAAAGTCAACTCATGTATGGTTAAGTATGTGCCCGATGTATGTTATTATTATGGTATCCACACATACAGCAATGAAGTACAGAGTTGGATTATATTTAGTCAATAGCTCTTTTTTTCAGATGCACTTCTCTGTGTGTTCAAGGGTAGAGCTTGTTTATATTTCCTATTATTTCGTTTTTATATAAGAATAAAAATTTTGGGGGGGGGGCATGAACGCATAACCCATGTAACATTGACAGTGGTTGTATTCTCGCAAACTATAACGTAGTCTTAACATCTGCAGTTTTGTTGTGTGGTCGCTTTGTGGATTGGTTTGGAATAATCCCTGAATCATACAGTATCTTCACAAAAAAAGTTACATTTATTATCAGTTCAATTGAAATGACTGTTAGACCATCATTGCTGTCGAGGATCTCGTGTATTTGACCATGTGCCCAATCTGGATTTCAACGCCTACCCACATTCCAATAAAGGCAGAGAGATATTTATATAAATGTGTCTCCATGGTTATGACCTGAAAGGACTACTTTAATGGTACAGTAAGTGTCTTAAGTCGAGAAAGTGCTTTCGCTACATTACTTTCAAACCAAGGTGAATGAACAATGCAGTAAACTGAAGATGAAATGATATTCAGCAAGTCTTACGACAATGGAATATTTCTTCATAATCCTCCCCACACCAACACATTTCAGTTAGCGTCTTCATTAGAAATTAACATAAAATAGACATGAGTTGTATATACCAAAGATGGTGGATAAATGAAGATGTTTAATATGACGGTTTACCATTTAAAATCAAGGTTCCTGTCTGTAGGTGGGCGTTCCCTCTCACGTGAGCATGCTTTCCCGCATGAGCTCACAGTTCCTCCATAAAGGTTGTGTTCCCCTGCTCATACATTGCATGCATCAAATCAAATTTTATTGGTCACATACAAGTGTTTAGCGAAATGCTTGTGTTTCTAGCTCCGACAGTGCAGTATATCTAACAAGTAATATCTAACAATTTCACAACATATACCCAATACACACAAATCTAAATAAAGCAACGGAATTAAGAATATATAAATAAATTAAAATGTTTATTTTTAATTCACAATTTCTAGAAGCAATGAGAATAGAAAGGTTCAGAACTTTTGTAAAACATTACAGTACGGTTGAAATATATATATGGCAAATAGAAATCCTATATGGATGGTGTTAAGAGATAGATGGGAGGTATTGAATAGAGTTGAAGGATGGGACTAATAACAAATAACAACAAATAATAACAAAGATAGCTAATAATGTAAGCATACTGTGTCCATAATAAGTATATAGGTTGTATGTTGGGAGCTTTTGGGAAAGAGCACAGTTAGAAAGATATGGCATATAGAAGCAAACCGGATGGACATCATGAAAATGATCGGAGAGGTTGAGAGTAGAAGAAGTTCAGGAGCAAAAAAAAAAAAAAAAAAAAAAAAAAAATATATATATATATATATATATATATATATATATAATATAATCTTTGTAAAATTAACTGTGTCCATAAGGTGTAGATAGTACGTATAGACCGGAAGTAGAGGCCTGGGCATTGTTGTTCACTAATTTACTCCAAGTAGGGAAAGGATGGCGGGGTTGAAAAGTAATAAAGGGGAGTATATATATAAAAAACATGGGGGATTGGAAGTGATGCAGACAATTACATTGATAAAAGATACAATCTATCTGCAATATTAAGCTGATCCACCCCCCCCAAAAAATAAAAATAAAAAATAAAATAAGAATATATAAATAAATATATGGACGAGCGGCATAGACTAAGATTTACATTTTGGTCATTTAGTAGACGCTCTTATCCAGAGCGACTTACAGTTAGTGCATACATTTTCATACTGGTCCCACGTGGGAATCGAACCCACAACCCTGGCGTCGCAAGCGCCATACTCTACCAACTGAGCTACACGGGACTACAGTAGAATAGTATAGAATACAGTATATAGATATGAGATGAGCAATGCAAGATATGTAAACATTATTAAAGTGACTAGTGTTCCATTTATTGAAGTGGCCAGTGATTTCTAATCTATGTATACAGGCAGCAGCCTCTAATGTGCTAGTGAAGGCTGTTTAACAGTCTGATGACCTTGAGATAGAAGCTGTTTTTCAGGCTCTCAGTCCCAGCTTTGATGCACCTGTACTGACCTCGCCTTCTGGATGAGTTCTTTGAGGTGGACATTTGATTGTGAGGTCGACAGTCGACATTTGATTGTGAGGTATTCTAGGTCGGGTGAACAACAGGACTTGGGTTCCTGTATGTTATCACAATTACACCATGAGTCGTTAATCATAAAACATACACCTCCACCCTTTTGCTTCCCGGAGAGATATTTAATCCTGTCTGCGCGATGAACTGAGAACCCAACTGGCTGGACCGACTCGGACAGTATATCCCGAGAGAGCCATGTTTCCATGAAACAGAGTATGTTACAATCCCTGAAAACCCTTGCCCTGAGCTCGTCAACTTTATTATCCAGAGACTGAACATTAGCGAGTAATATACTCGGAAGCTGTGGGTGGTGTGCACGCCTCCTAAGTCGGACTAGAAGACCGCTCCAAGTACCTCTCCTCCGGCGTAGTGTTGGGTCGGCCTCTGGAATCAGTTCAATTGCCCTGGGGGGTGCGAACAAAGGATCCGCTTCTGTAAAGTTGTATTCCTGGTCGTAATGCTGGTAGTGCTGGTGAGTTACCGCCGCTCTGATATCCAATAGTTATTCCCGGCTGTATGTAATAACACAAACAATTTTGGGGGCTAATAACGTTAGAAATAATACATAGAAAAACAAAATGCTGCAAAGTTTCCTAAGAGCTAGAAACAAGGCAGCCCTCTCTGTCGGTATAATGGTAGACTGTGTCATCGACTGACAGATTGCTATAACATATAATGTGGTTAGCTCTTAGCTGATACTTCAATTAACTATCCAGGCATTGTACGATCTGGTATGCGTCAGCAAAGCCTTGGCAGAGGAACGCCCAATCTCTGGCATGCTCATGCAAGAGAGGGAACGCCCACTTACACAGGCAGGAATATTTTCAATGGAAAACTGCCCAATAACAATCAAATCACTGCGATATTACACCATAAAACTGTCTGATCACCGCATTTTGTAAAGAGGGCTCACAATTTTAACCAATCGCCGCACTTTTACCACCGAAAATGGTTCAACAAGCCATACGTTCCCTCACCAGTGCATTTTCGTGACACATTGGACAGAAATCACTGCAAAATGTCAGAAATGCCAGAGCAAAATCAATCATTTTTACCCGCAACTATAAAAAAAAACGCCAATACTGCTGCATTCATAGCCAACTGGAGATGGTAATTACCAGTTGTGAAGTCGTAAATGTCGGTTGGATGCATTCACGTGCTTGAACTAGTTGAGAAACGTTGATTGGCTAATGGCCAACCAGCTGTGTCAACCATAAACTAAAAGTACAGCTACAGTATCATGCTTGTAAAGAAATTATAGTGTTCAAAAACCATATTAATAGATTGCTTTTTATAAATAATGTTTTGTTGTTACATTTAACTGCCGAAAATGCTGTTATCAAGGTAATTTTCTTAGTAGTTGACGTCAGAGGTCAGCATGTGGGAGAAGTCTGTGCTCAGGAATGATGGTGGTTTCAAGACAACTTGGAACCCAAAAACAAATAAGGTCAAATCATGACATCAGTGATCTTCCTGTTGGAAAGTCGGAGCTCTAGCAAGATGCCCGAGTGTCCGACTTGGAATTCCGAGGTGACCGCTCAAGATAAAGGAGCTGGAATTCCGTTGATGACCGCTCAAAACTATTTTTCCCAGACGGAGCTAGTTTTTTCCTTAGTTCCCAGTTGACTTGAACGCAGTGAAGTCTGAAGTCTGAGATTTCTTGAGTTCCGAAATCCGAGTAGCAAGTTGTTTTGAACATGGCATCATAGACGAGTGTCCCACTTGTAATTACAAATTAGAGGGCGTTCAAGTGGATTTTTCCCAGTCGTATGTGGCAAATACCACCTTCCCACTTGGTCAAGACTGCAGCATAAGTTTAAAAAACTTGACCAATAGAGTCCATTTTAAACTGACTAATAATGATGGTTGGTTAGCCTAGGTGGGAGTCATGGGTAACTGCAATTCAACATGGCTCCCGGAACATGAGTATGTCAACATAAATGGACGGACGGGGGGGGACTCTCAAAACTGCAATATTCTTTGCTTTTCTGAAACATGGCTCTCGGACAAGATACCCCCCCTTGGCTATCCAACTCGATGGATTCTCCATTCACCGGGCGAACAGGACAGTGCAGTCGGGGACATCTAGGGGGGAGGGGTTTGCCTCTACATCAACACCAACTGGTATGCTAACTCCAGCGCGGTGGAAGTGTCGACCAACTGTTCACCCGTCTTGGAATACCTGATGGTCAAATGCTGACCCTTTTACCTCCCGAGGGAGATTTCAGCTGTTGTCGTGACTGTTGTATACATTCTACCTCAGGACAAGAAAAATAACAAGATGGCACTTAACGAACTGTACAAGGCTATTAACAAGCAAGAAAACCTACATCCAGAAGCTGTTTTTCTGGTTGCCATGATTTTACTTCCACATCACTAATACACGGCATGCCCAACTTCCATCAACATGTCTCCAATGCCACTAGGGGCGATAAAGTCCTACCACTGTTATTCTACCCCCCATCCAGCACAAAAGGACCTCCCTCGTCCACCATTCGGCAAATCAGATCATGACTCCGTACTCCTGCTTCCTGTTTACAAGCAGTAACTCAAACAGGAAGTATCAAACCGTTGAAAATGGTCACCAGAATCAGAGATTATAATACAGGACTGCTTTGCTAGCGCTGATTTGAATATGTTTCGAGACTCCGCTAACCACCTCCGGCACCGGCTTCATTAGAAAATGTATCGGCGACGTTGTCCCCACGTTGAGGGTTCGCTGCTTCCCCAATCAAAAGCCCTGGATTAACACAGAGTTTGGCGTTAAACTAAAGGACAGGGCTACCGCACACTGAGCTATCGTAGACAACCCTGAGGCTATGGCTGAGGACAGGAATAAGTACAAGAAGTCCCACTATGACCTCCGCAGAGTCATCAAATGAGCAAAAGGACAATATAGGAATAAGGTGGAATCATACTACATAGGCTCCGCCGCCCACCTCATGTGACAGGGACTAAAGT